CCCGGCGAAGAAAAAGAAGGTGACATTTGTATAGACACGCAAGAGAGGTGAAGTGTGGCGATTTGGTGAGGGAAGGACTGCCGAAATACCCATTTGAGACTGAAACCTGTCGCTTTCCCCCTCACTCAGGTGTGTGTGATTGATATCAACCCCAAACTTCAAACTATGAGAGCGAAAGCAGTAGATAGCTCCACTCGTGTCTGCAAAAAGAACATCTCAGATCTGAATTTGGTACCTAATGTATTCATCAAAACATCCTACCAAACATAACATACCCATTTGGGCACAGTGAATGTAAACTCAAATACATAGTTTGTTCACACACAAGGAATTTTAGCAGGATTTGGAGAACTACTCCAGTTGCTTTGATTTAGTGCAGTTTGAATAACATTAAAACATGTCTTGTTGGAAAATAGGGAAATGATGATTAGGAATAACTAGGTGTGTCTGTATGGAACGGTGTCATAGTTCTTGCCATATCCTTGGATCAAAGTCCAAAGGAGCAAAGCATATAGCCTGTATTTCCCACAGAAATAGAAGTGGAAGTATTCTTTATAAATCAATGGGATTTACAATACACTTTTGTTTTAATGTACTACACAGAAGGATGTCTGATTGACATTAAGTGAATCTAAGATCTTAAAAACCAACCTTGTTCAAATTCTTTCAGCTTCTGTAAGGCCTCATCTCTCTCCTCTTGCATTTTTTTACACTGAAACAAAATTAAATATGAATTAAAATGAAATAATTGTTCATAAAAATCTATCATATATATATATATATATATATATATATATATATATATATATATATGGCTGGTTCAGTGGCACTGAGTAAAGTATGCACTGATAGAACAGTTTTTTTTATTTGAAACTTATTTAAATAATAATTTATTTTAATTTTATTTTTTTTAAAGCAAAACAATCCCAAAATATAATTGTAAAGGGATAGTTCACCCAAAAATAAACATTCTGTCATCATTTACTCACCTTCAAGAATGTATAACTATTTTCTATTTCATATATTTTAAAATGTAATTTATTCCTGTGATTGCAACGCTGAATTTTCAGAAGCCACTATATTACTCCGGACTATAGTGTCACATTATCCTTCAGAAATCATTCTAATCTACTCATTTTCCCCCCCCCATCTTGATTAAATGCATTCTTTGTGAACATAAAAGTAATGAGTAAATGATGACAGAATTTTCTGTTTGAATACAATGAAAGTCAATGCAGTTTTGACACCACTGACTTTAACTGTATGGACAGAAACTGCTGAAAAATATAATATTTCTGTATGATATCAAGATTTTCAAAAGAGTTTTTATTTTTTTTGGGTGAACTATCCCTTTAAGACCATGCACAGATTTGGAAGAAGTGCAAGGGCAAAAAGGGGGCTGAAAGAAAGGACAGAATGACAGCAAACATCTTACCTCCTTCTTGATTTTCTCGTATTCTCTTTGGAGGCTTTCATACTGGAGAAGTACTGCAGAAATACAAGGACGCCAGTTAAACATGTCTCACAACTTCCCATGAACTACACAGTCAGTTAATGCAACACACTATACAGGAGATCAACTCAGGAGGAAACTTCTACTGCAACCCACAACTCGTGTCCAGCGTGAGGACTGCTCATGGAAACTAGTGCTAATTTAAACAGAAGTATTTTTAATGTTGCAAAAATATAGAATTACAAATAGCGGAAATTCTCTTCCAGGATGAAAAATACATTTGCTGGGTAAGATGATAACAGTTCCACTCATAACTGTCTACATTCTGCCTGTAGTATGAATCAGCATCAGCTCTACTGAATATGCATCTAATTTTAGAACAGAAGACATGATCTGTAAAGGGTTTACAAACCACACGGTCTCTGGGTTATTAATGTCACGGTGACACAGACTACCATGGAAAAGGCCATAGCAGCTTTTGATCAAAAAGATACCATACAAATCTTGCCTTACATCTTTCAGAGTGATTTCAGACTTGACAGTCTTGATTTCAATAGTCACATGACTAGAGCTTTCAGAGATGGTATCATAAAACATCATAATCGAGACGCAGCTATCATATTAATACTCAAATGTTCTATATAAGTCATATAAATAATGATCACAATACATGTCATATAATTTTAATACACATTATATTAGAGTAAATATGGATTTATTCTTGGTTCATCAACCACAATTTTCCCCACTAATTCTATTAAGTTTTACAGATCAGCAGATAAATGAGTTCCTGATAACACTCAGGCTATTAAAAATCAGTTCGTTTCATTTGGTTGTCCAAGGATTAAAACACATTGTGCTCACTTAGCTGGGGAAAAAATAGAATTAAATGGGCAATAAAGATAGATGTCAAAACAGACTGCAATAAACGTTTCATCTTTACATGAAAACAAAAGAAATGCCAGGATGTTCACCAAAAATGTGTGTACATGTCCAAACAAGCCTCTCAAAGCAAAAGGATTGATGGAGAATTTGTAAAGGAGTATTTTTCTCTGCATGCAGAAGGGATTACAAAGTATGTTATAATACAATATTTGTTCCACTTCAGAATTTGTTGGTTGGTAAATACATTATTTGTTTCCCTCGTACAATAACTATTATGGGTTTTTTCTTTCTGGGAATAAGGTTAAAATAAAGTCGACATCAAGATGAGTGTTATAACTAGGGGGGAAAAAACTATTTCATGTACGTAAGGCCTATTATTACAGAACCTGTGTGTTGACTGTTACAGTTTCAGGAACCTAGTTTCTATACACTATTAAGCGCACTGGTTAGAGCACACCAGCACTCCTTATGCATTCGACACAGCCACGCTTACCTTGGTTGGACAGTTCTGAAATCATTTTCACTTCTTTCTGCTCTCCCGTTGACGCCATTGAGAGTTCCTGTGGTTACTGAATCAAAACTCCGGTTAAGCATAGCGCGAGCGACACAGGAAATGACACCTGGTCACACCTACGGTCATCAGCATGCTCCGTTAAAGTAAAAATGTACCACGCAAACCATAGTTCTCCCTCGAATATAGTTACTACAATAAAATGTGGTAACATGGTATTAGCAAAAATGGCTTAAAAAATAAAGAGTACAAATTACACTCTTTACGATTTTACAGTAGTTTTTCAACTATAGACAGTTCTAGACCACCTAGAATGGACTTTGAGAAAATAAACTTTTTTAAAATCACATCGTTTTACACACTCTCAGTTAATTTAAATACTTCTTTTTTTCTTGGTAATCATGGCTAATTTCTACCAGTGTCATTTTTACATCTTAAATAATGTGATGCTTTACAGCATTATGTGGCTGAAATTATGGTGGTGGAAATGACTTGTAAATATTTTTAGAATAAAATTGCATTTAAAATAGCCAGCATTTTATATATAATACACACAATAACTATAAGTTTCACTTTCCGCTCAATTCCGCAAAATTATTGCTAGATTAGACATGACACACAAACAATAATAATAAAGACAATTTCAAAATTGATATTTACCTTGATTTTTCCCTGTCTTCTTTACCCATCACATCTTATATCCTTATATCACATCTTCCTAAACAAATTCACTGACTTTCAAAAAAATCTTTGAAAGGGGCAAGATTTCTGGACCCTAATAAAATGAGGCCACACTAATAAGAGACGGTTAAAAAAAAAAAGAACTATTATTATTTTTAACAGTATAGGTCTGAGACACAAGTAAAACAATGAAATCTAACATAAAAGCATTTAAATAATAGCACAAATAATTTAACAAAATGAAATAGCTTACTTTTAATAAAATCAACCCCTGGGGCATAAAATTGCCAGAAGTTGAAGAAAAACCCACTAACTATAGGAGCTATAATATTCTTGTTGAAACTGTTATATTGGTAGATTTTTGTAAGGACAGTCCCTCAGCACAGAAAACAATCCACTGGCATTTTCATTCACTTCAATTAACATTACTGTTATTATGGCAAATAACCGAAGTAGTCAGCCAATCACGATATAACAATATAATTTAATTCATCTGAGAGGTTTGACAGGTTTAACAGCAATCAACACAGGTAAAACGTATATTTACACATACAGAGTAAGAGGGGAATGTTTAATCAGTCTTATATCTCAGCACATAATTCAAAGCACAGATGCTGTAAACATCCTAGATCCTCCTCTAACAGGGAAAAAACAGCTGTCAGTGACAAGCATACACACTATATGATCATTCAACACCTATAATTACCTGTCTGTCAGCATAACACAAACTAAGTTTGGTGCACAAACATTAATTTGGATTTGTTTTTTGGATATTAAAATAAATAAAAGTAAATATTTTCAAGGGAAGGGCCAGAAAAGAATTTGTAAATCAAATATTCTCATGACTTACATTGGAATGTTTCAAAATATGGCATTATTGGTGCGCTTGTTGCAGTGATGAATGGAGGATGCGAGAGAGCACATAAATGTGCAAGTTAGCACTGAATTTTTCCCTTTGAGCTCAAATGTTTTTAATATTCTCCTTAGGCTGCAGATAGTGAAATAACTCAAAAAAAGAAAAGAAGAAAAGAAATGAACTACAGGACAGTATGCATCTCCAAAACCAAACAGTGAAACAAAAGCAAATCACGATTACATATTCTATCCACACAATAAAGTACACACAATCATGTATAACACAACAATGGGGGACAATGGAATAATCTCTGGTGGTCATAATACATGGGATAATGACACGCATGTTTATGAAACCATTTTACGCATTTTAAATGTGTATTATCCCAGAGTTATGCCCTGTAATTCTAAACACCACTTTTCAGAGTAAAGGTGGACACAAGGGATGAGGTTTTCTGAGGGAGACAGGTCATGTGACCTTTAGCCCGGGCCTCCAGAAGGTGTAGTGGTCTTAGGAGGTTCCGTGACGGGCAGCGGACTCTCTCGGGTAGAATTCGGCCAGTGTGCTCTGAGGAATTCTCTCATGTTTATGAAACCATTTAACGCATTTTAAATGTGTATTATCCCAGAGTTATGCCCTGTAATTCTAAACACCACTTTTCAGAGTAAAGGTGGACACAAGGGAAGAGGTTTTCTGAGGGAGACAGGTCATGTGACCTTTAGCCCGGGCCTCCAGAAGGTGTAGTGGTCTTAGGAGGTTCCGTGACGGGCAGCGGACTCTCTCGGGTAGAATTCGGCCAGTGTGCTCTGAGGAATTCTCTTCAGCATTTCTTTGGGGAAGATTCGGAGCAACTGCCAACCGATGTCCAGCGTCTCAAACACAGTTCTGTTGTCATAGGGACCTAGAGAAATACACACATACGTACCTTATAACCTCAAAGTCACATGACATAACACTCAAGCTTTTATTATGTATCATAACTTTTGAACCATTTGTCACATACTCAAGTGACTTATATCATTGGATATCTTTGAGCCATGACCAACAAAACATATATCTATGATTTCATTTCCATCACGAAAAATTTTGCGCCAGACTGTTCTGACTTGCGCATGCCATACCTAACTGATTAGTCTTACGGTTTTCTTAAAAGGGGTTAAAAAAAGGGGGCTATCAACCTGAAAACTCCCATTGACTTATATTGGCAAAAAAAAAATAAAAAATTGTGCGCTCATATGTCAGAGGCTTCAGGGAGGGCTCAGATTGTTTTTGAAAGAAATGTACACTTTTATTCACCTTTTATCTATACATATACTTTTATCTTTTGAACTTTCTATTTAGCAAAGAAACCTGAAAAAAAAATTATCACGGTACCCACAAAAATATTAAGCAGCACAACTGTTTTCAGCATTGACAATAATAATATAGGATGATATTATAAGCATATCAGAATGATTTCTGAAGGCTGGAGTAATGGTTGCTGGAAAGCACAGCAAGAAATTACATTTTAAAAAATATATGAATAGAAAACATTTATTTAAAATTGTAATACAGTTTTAAAATATTACTGTTTTACTGCATTTTGTATATAATTTCAGCCTTGATGAGCATTTAAAAACATTTAAAGATGCAGTAGGAGATCTTGGAAAATGCTAACTTTAGCCTGATAGCACTGAAAGCGAACGTCCCACCCTCCCTGCAATCGCCGTCCAAAGCCATGCCCCCTGAACGCATTTACGCTCACAGACCAGAATACCAGAGACAACATTACTACAATAGGCTACATCAGCAGTTCCCAATTCCAGTCCTCGCGTATCCTGTCTGCGCGAACCGGGTGCGCAGATGTATGCAAATACATGTGTTGACAGGCAGGTAGGAAAGCCAATTAAAACGTTCGGACCGAGCGTTTTGATTGGACGAACATTTCTTCGTCCTACGTCTTCCACAAAATTGATAAATACAGATAAATACATTTAGACCACTTAACTTGATGATTGCTATCGGGATGTGAAGAGACTTTCAACCAGCATAACAAAAAATGTTTCTGAAGACAATCACCTATTACACCTTTAAATAAATCATACCAATCACAACTTTTGATCAACATTATACAGATACAGATATAGATATATAAAACGAATAAAATGTCATATAAAAATAATTATAATCAGATGTTAATTTCTCAGAGCTTTAATGTTTTAGCTTCGAAGCAAAAAAAGTGAATGTGAAAGAATGGATGTTCCTTAAGAAATTGGCTTTATGGCCTTGTATTTGGCTTCATGTTGCTTAAAAGATCAAAACCACTGACTGACACATAGCATCTTTAATAGCATATTTCAGTTAAACAGAAAAGTGCTTTACTTGAAGGAAACACTGTACCGCACTCATGGGGAGATGAGTGAATGCATGTTTTGTTTTCTGTAAATAGAAGCAATAACTGAGATTGTTGGAGTCCAACATGTGTCGGTGGAACTTAGACAATGTCCTTTTCTACCAATGACAGTGATGACATAGCAACTGTGTGACAGACACAAAGGAAGTCGAGGGATTTCATCCCAAAAATAGGGCCGCGATCAATATGAAAGATGCACATAGTGGAGGGTTTGATGGGGACGGAGGGCCTTGCACCTTGTGCCACGCTGAAGAGCGACAGCATTGAGAAGAACATTCACTGAGGTGAAAGTGCTTCGCGGCAGAGCAAGAGCAGTGGCTGATAGAAATAGATACTGTCTAGTGGTTTCCAGTATAGAATATAAAACAACATTATAGTGTTCACATACACACACAGTTGAGAGACCTTGGAATTAAAAAAAAAAAAAAAATGCTCTAGTGTGACGAACTCTGCTTAAAATAAAACATCTCCAAAAACTGGTCCCTTAAAATCTGGTTAAAATTGCAGTTCTAACATTTCTGCCAAATTTAGACCCATCTAAGGTAAATGAGCATATGCAGTACAGAAAATTGCACGCTAGGGTTTTTTTTTTACCTTGAGCGATGAAATTCTTTTCGAACTTCTGCAGGAACTCCAGGTACAGCAGGTCATCCGAGGTCAAAGCTTCCTCACCCACAACGGCCTTCATAGCCTGAACATCTTTACCAATAGCATAACATGCATACTATGGGATTAAGAGAAAAACAGAGGGAGAATTAGCTTGAAAAATCACAATTAAATGGCAAACTGTGGTATGAACATTGCACAACTTATTTACCAGCTGGTTAGAGACATCAGCATGATCTTTGCGGGTCATTCCCTCTCCGATAGCAGATTTCATCAAACGAGAGAGAGATGGCAGTACGTTGATGGGAGGATAGATCTTTAAGTGGAAAAATATAACAACGAAGAGTTTGGTTATGAAAATAAAAGAAAAAACTGTATTGTAACTTTGAAAAGGTTCACCTTAAAGATGAATTATTAAATATTGATAATAAATTCATCTGTATGAAGCACATTAATGAGTCCTACTGTAGTTTTGCAGATTTTGAAGTGGATTAAGTACACCTAACCAATTTCCTAATCACACAAAACTTTTCAGATGTTATGACTGGTCAAACTTCTCACCTGTCTGTTGTGCAGTTGTCTGTCAACATACACCTGTCCCTCTGTGATGTACCCCGTAAGATCAGGGATCGGATGGGTGATATCTGTAAACGGAGGCAAAAATGAAATTTTTCATTTCAAAACTGCTTCTTCTAGTCATAAATGATTATTAGTTGTTATTAATAGCATTTATAAACCATTTCATTTGCAGAACTGATCTAAAGATACTAAAAGGTATAGTAATTATGTGGTGTTTTGGACAGAAAAGAGATAGCGAGTTAAAAAGATAAATGGGCAAAGAAAGCGAGAAAGAAGAAAGATGGAGGTTTCCTGGTGCTGCTATAATAGGGAACACCCATTCAGAAACACACACAGGTCCTTCACAAGGATGTTTCTATAGTAACCAAAGCCATCAAGACTGCTAGTTACTGGGCGCAGTTGCTGTGTCCGGTCTGAACACAAAATAAAGAAGTGCACATTTTATATCATTAATGGTCCACAATCATTCGGATTCTAGCAAGATTTGTAACGGCAGAAGGACACCATCATCACTGAAGAAACTAATGAAACTTCATTAAAATCATATACATTTTATCCATCAATCAAGTGTGCAAGAATGTGTGAATGTACTTGGCTGTAGTTTAGAGACAAAACTGAGAAGTGACCTAAAACTTGCAAAACCTTTGTTAAGGAACATTACAGGATGTCCTCATTTGGAAAATAAATAAATAAATGAACTAACAAATATAAATAATAAATGAATAAATTAACTAATACAGGAACTGTAACCAACTAAATAAGTAAATAACTAAACTAAATAACAAAAATAAAGCTAAATAATTAAATAAATATAGAAATAAATTACTAAAATAAATGAAATAACTAAATAAATAGCTAAAAAATTAATAATTAAATATCGAAATAAAAAAACAAAAATAACTCAACTGAAATAACTAAATAAATAAAAAAAATTCATAACTGCATAAATAACAAAAAACGTATATCTAAATAAATGAAATAACTAAATAAATAGCTAAAAAAACTAAAAAAAACTATAGTAACTAACTAAATATAATTTTTTTTAATTTTTTTATATTTGTTTTAATTTTTTACATTTGTTTTTACCAGGCTGAATTCTAAGTTTCATAGAAAAGTAATAACACACTTCTCAACAAACTGCTCAAAAAGAATAGGATGAGTTACATGCTGAAGTTGAATATTTGATCAAATGGCTTTACGGTATATCATCAATAATTAGTGTTCTATAAAAAGAAATGTGTGCATGTACCATCATTAGGCATGGTTAGAATGGGGATCTGGGTGATTGATCCATTCCTGCCCTCCACTCTTCCAGCACGCTCGTAGATTGTAGCAAGATCAGTGTACATGTAACCTGGGAAACCACGACGACCCGGCACCTCTTCACGGGCAGCAGACACCTACAACCCACAACATATCCAGACAAAAAATAAACAAAACACAAAAAAACAGGCGTTTTATATCGTGACAATTTAAATTCTGTGTATGATGTGTGTATAAAACTTTTCATTGTCTCCTGTGAAGTTACACAGGAGCATCTCATAACCTTTGAGTGTTTTCAGCTTGTTTATTTTCATATAATTATATGGCATGCAGTTGCTTCAAACAATAGTATAAACATCATTCAGTGTAAATTGTGATAATCGTAATTAATAACCGCTATTACAATTTTAAGGGAATAATCGACAATTATGATTTTTACAGCCCTACGAAACTGTAACATCTGCTCCACACCAACCGATCAATGACAGCCATTTTAAGCCAGTCAAATGACGTTAATCTGTTTTCTACTTCTGCATCTGCACACCGAGGCACTTTTATAAGCAGATAATACACTCAGATCTTCTCCCAAGGTTAAAACAAGTGTAGACGCTGTTCTGAGCCTCATTTTTACCAGGCTGAATGGGAGAGGGAGTTAAATGTTAATGCTCCCACCGCTCTTTGGAAGCGGCTGCCTATTGCAGAAGCCAAAGCAGGCAGCTTCGATAGGGCTGAATGTATCCCAAGGTTACAGCGGCACAAAGACAGGAAGAAATGGTCCTTTCACATGCACGCAAACTATTTAAAATGAGCATTATGCGTTTGACACATTTAGACATCAAAACATGTTTGTGGCACAAAAATGATAATCGTTGGCATGAGGGTTGAAGAAAGGTGATGCTGCCAGAAAAAAAGCATCTTCAGAAGGCTGAGGAACATAGTGGAATGAAGTATACACAAATCTGTTTGTCTGTCAAAACGTCCCACTGCTAGGTTTAGAATGGCATACTACCATACAACCCATACTATTTTGCCGTTATGAGGACTATGACTTAATAAATTTACCAAAATGTGTAGAATTCATCACTTTATGGAATACAGTATCTCTAATGCAACACACTCCATTTTCCTCACTCATTCAGTGCGGCGAATCATTAGCATCAACCTTGATTTTTTCTTAAACATATTCACTCATGATTTAATATCAAAACTTAAAACTTTTCAAAAAAATTTTTTTTTAATTATTTTTTAAAAATCATTTTTGTGCAAAAACGTTCTCTTGGCAACTAGATCCAATAATGAGTTAAGAAAAATATATTCAATCTTAAAATATATTAAATATCTAGTTCATTAATCACACTGCAATAGGTAGGTCAGCATGTTGAGAAAATTGCATTTTGAAATAAAGAACTCAGCATAGTGTGCTGTTGTTTTATACTATGCATATTGCTAAACAGTTTGTTGTAATTCTATTTCTTATGTTAATTCATATATATTTTTTCTGACTAAATTTTTAGAATTGTTTAGATTAAATTTTTTATTTGTAATCTATGTACATTCTTATGCTAATTATATTTGGTACAGAGAGTCATATAAAGCATTTCACTGCATGTTGTACTACTGTGTATGGTTGTGTGTGTGACTAATAACATTTTACATTGAGTTTTGTTTAAAACACGATTTTTTACACTTTGGCAGATGGTGCTGAAATCCATTCATTACGATTGGACACAGTGGCACTTCAACATAAGCCACACAGGAAACACGATACTAACCGTAACACTGGTCATTGCTCCAGCCTCCAATATTGCTCCAAATGTCAAGAGGGGGTTATAGTGGTTTTGTTACTCATTCATTGCAGTCATAGCTGTTTGTTGACTCCCAAACAGCTGGAATATGATATAAAGGAAATGGCCCTGTACATGCAAAGTCAACTACTCGTATTGCTAAGCAGAGTTGAGAGATGCCAAGTAAGGTCGTTATTTATACGATACATGATAACGCAATATAAATGTGTTTGCTGTGCATGTAGCCTAAGAATTGCACAGTACAATGGCTAGGAAAATATAAAATGATATAGAGACTAGATACAGAGACTTAGGATTATTTCCTTGACAAGGTCAATTATGTTTAAGCAGGTATGAAATTCAAATGGAGAACAACATGATATATGATGAAACAGGGCACTGGAAATATCACCACAAAGCAGAGATGGTTCAGATTTGCTTGTCCTTGCATCCAATAGAAAAACCTACTTTTCCCTTGAATGCTTTCATAGCTATAAAATGTCAACATGAACGGTTTATGTGAGATACAAGTGCATTATGTCTCTGTAAAGGAGACCTTTAACTATGTTTGAAATGTCTGAATTTATCATAAGATTGAATAAATAAATAAATAAAGACATACATCCTTAAAAAATGCGTTGAGTGAGTTCTTACAGCTTGTTCGTTTACCAATATAATCCCAGTGCAAATACATTCCAAGCCTTTTATGCTCACCAAGGCTGCCTTTATTTGATCCAAAAGTGCAGTGAAAATAGTAATATTGTGAAATATTGTTACGGTTTAAAATGACTGTATCTATTTTAATACATTTTAAAATGTAATGTATTCCTGTGATGTCAAAGCTCCATTTTCAGCATCATTACTCCATTCTTCAGTGTCACATGATCCTTCAGAAATCATTCTAATATGCTGATATGGTGCTCAAGAAATGGTTCTTATTATTATCTTGAAAACAGTTGGGGAGTTGGTTAATATTTTTTCCGGTCTTCACTGTCATTTGTGATTAATTTAATGTCTTTGCTGAATAAAATTATTAATAAAAAAAACAAAACTTTTGTACTGAAGTGTAAAACCATACAAAAGCCAGTGATCACCATGCATTTGTGTAATATGGAAAAGAGCAGCTGTATTATTTTATTCCACTGGGATAAAAGGCATATTCATTTTAATAAATTCTGAGCAACAACAAAAATATTTTTTATGGAAGTTAATTAAAACCTCTCTGAAAAAAATCTGAGGCTCTTGTATTTTATTGGCCCTTGCTTCTGATATCCATTATGAGGAAATAATTGTATCGATATGATATCGTCCTCACCTCTCTCAGAGCCTCTGCGTAGGAACTCATGTCCGTAAGGATGACCAACACGTGCTTCTCACACTGATAAGCTAGATACTCCGCAGTGGTCAAAGCCAGACGTGGGGTGATGATGCGTTCAATGCTATACGGAACAATTCAAAAGAATAAAATAGTCAATATGTTACATTATAAACATTATACAAATTACATTACATAAGAGCACACAGGTCATTCAAATGAATTCTCACGTAGGATCGTTGGCCAGGTTCAGGAACAAGCACACATTATCCATAGAACCGTTCTCCTCAAAGTCTGACTTGAAGAAACGTGCAGTCTCCATGTTGACCTGGGATTCAAACGAACGAACATGTGAAACACTGAACAAATCCAGAGTAAGACCTTCACTTCCTGTTCCACCAGACTCTAATGAACTGACAATGTCAGGTACTTTCTTGTTCATTGTTCAGCCAAAATCTCCACAATTCAGTTCAAAATGACCTCGAAGTACATTTCCTGCTAAAGGAAAATCCTTTTGCTTTTATAAAAGGTTTAGCATTTTGACCACCCGGCACATGAAATCAAGATATAGTGTTACAGGGTGTCAAAAGCGAATGCATTAGACACAAGTCCGCACCGGGAGCCCGGCGGCCACAGGACACAAGGCTGGGTCAGTGACATTTCAAGCACAGTTTAATGGAAGCCCTTCACACTTGAATACACAGGTGAACCTGACACCTGACACAGGTAATACCTGTCTGAGAGGACAGACCGCAGCCACTCAGTGACAATAACAAAGGTTTGGAGAGGAAGCTGACAGGTGAGGGCAGAAGGTTAAGGTGCTGTTGAAGAGCAGGATTAAGCCACCTATGAGGACCAACATTCACCCACTCACACAAAACAGACACAATTTTACATTCGGTCCACTAGAGGATCATTTTACACAAGCATCCTGAAAGTCATGCAAACGGTTGACCCATGTATAGACACCTAGATGTAAAACAGGATTTACATTTCAAGCACAGGTTAATGGAAGCCCTTCACACTTGAATACACAGGTGAACCTGACACCTGACACAGGTAATACCTGTCTGAGAGGACAGACCGCAGCCACTCAGTGACAATAACAAAGGTTTGGAGAGGAAGCTGACAGGTGAGGGCAGAAGGTTAAGGTGCTGTTGAAGAGCAGGATTAAGCCACCTATGAGGACCAACATTCACCCACTCACACAAAACAGACACAATTTTACATTCGGTCCACTAGAGGATCATTTTACACAAGCATCCTGAAAGTCATGCAAACGGTTGACCCATGTATAGACACCTAGATGTAAAACAGGATTTACTGAAATCGAAATGAAAAGAAAATGTAAAGAAAATGAACACACAAGAAACCTCAAGTAAAGCAAGCCTTTGACCATGGCACGAAAAAAAAAAAAAAAAAGAAAAACAAATACTTGGAAACTGGCACAGATAAAGATACAGAAAACCACTCACCCCCATAGCAGCAAACACAATGGCGAAGTTTTCTGCACTGTAGTCCATCACATCTTTCGTTTTCTGCACCAAACCAGCCTGACGACAGATCTGGGCAGCAATCTACCAGTCAAAAAGCACAAAACCAAAAAAGTTGCACAATTTGATAAAAAAAAAATACAAAAGTAAGGGGTGGGATAAGTTTAAATGTTTTTGAAAAAAGTTCCTTATGCTCACCAAGTCTGCATTTATTTGATTAAAGATATAGTAAAAACAGTACTTTAGTGAAATGTATTTTACAATTAATATAACAGTTTTCTAGTTTAATATCTTGTAAAATGTATTTAAAAGTAATTTATTTCTGTGATGGCATCAGCCGTTACTCCAGTGTCACATAATCTTTCAGAAATAATTTTAATATGCTGATATGTTACTCAAGAAACATTTCTTATTTTTATCAATGTTGAAAAACATTGTGCTGCCTAATATTCTTGCGGACACCGTGATGAGTTCTTTGATGAGTTATCTGATCAGTTCTCTGATGAGTCCTTTGATGAATAGAAAATAAAAAACAACAAAGCAGCATTTATTTGAAATGGAAATGTTTTGTAACATTATAAATGTATTTACTGTCACTTTTGATTAATTTAATCAATTCTTGCGAAAGAAAAGTATTAATTAAAAAAAAAAACATTCTGATGCCAAACTTTTGAAGAGTAGTGTATAATACATTATTTGAATCTCCTATATTATTTTGCTTGATAAGAAAAAAATAAATATTTGATGCTATATACTATTTAGCATGTTGAACATACACTATAGAGCTAAAATGAACACCAAATTTGAGTGCAAAGCCCATTTCTATTATGTACTATATATATATGTATGTGTGTGTGTGTGTGTGTGTGTGTGTGTATTTGCAACAAAGAGATTAAGACCACAAGCATGAGGAATTTCACGCTTATCACTTAATATAATGATCCTGGACATCTAATCCGGCCTGACCCCTGACTGAACTCTGACCCAGAACACCTGTTTCTCTGAGGGGATAAAGCCGGCTGTGACCCCACGACTCCTGTTTAATGAAACGAGAAACTTTTATATCACAGCACTTTACACTTGGGCTGTTAGAAGTTCAAACCATTCAACCTTGGCTTTTGATCATATATTTTCATAACTGACAAACACTAGAGCTTTATTCTCTTTTTAAAGTCTATATACTGAAAACAGTACATTTTTTCCTCAATTTAATCCGATTCATTAACTACTGTCCTATTCATCTTATTGCCATGACAAAATTCAGTACTCTTTCTTCCTTGATGTGTGGAGTTGATGATTCACTCCTTTAGACCTGGAACAGGTTTCTTCAGGTATAGAACAGATCTGAACATAACAGATGGGCTTTTCACACTTGTAATTGTTAACTGTTAACTCTTGAAGCTATTGTAATTCTGTTCCTTAACTCACTTCAACATTCTAGCAGAACACTTTCACACTGTATACTTTTGAATTAGCAGTGCAAAAGCAGAATTAACCTTGGTCTGTAGCTGGTTTTCATAACCTAACCTATATTCATAACCTATATTCTTTACCCAGGGTCTTAAAGAGTTTAAAAACCCAGGGTTAGCCACAGTGTGAAAATCCCAAAAGTGTTGTGGTTTATTATTATTGCTTGTGTGTGTGTGAATTTAGGGCTGTTAATGGCAACTGTCTGGTTGATGGTTTGGAGAAAACACCTCTCTTGAGTGTTAAAATATCAGGGTTGAGTGAACCAGCCAGTACTAACCACAAAAGATAATAATTATGCCCATATATACTGTGTATATGTATGTGTGTGTGTATATATATATATATATACACACACACACACACACACACACTCACTACTATTTTTTACTAAATTCAAGGCAGCCTACTGATATCTTTAACAGTTAATGTCGTGGGTTATTACATTCATTGTTTACAGTCATAGCAGGAGGGAATAACCACCTATATATATATATATATATATATATGTGTGTGTGTGTGTGTGTGATTCAAAGCGCTGTCACTGCTTTGTAAAGCCTGTTTACCATGGCAGTAAAGCTACTGGAATCTCAATTTACCAGTTGCTGATTGCGATGCAGATTTTTTCAAATAGGATACACATCTCGACCACAGAAAGTCTCTGTTCATGGTATGTAACACTCAATTCTATGTTTTAAAATATTGCCCTGGTCACAGCCCATATTTATTCTGATGACTTTCGTGTGACTGATCACGCTGTAGCCTAGCTACTATGTGTAGCCTAACAAAATGCTTTCTCTGTCCAGATTTGACTACAATAATAATAACTGACACTTCAAATCAACATTTAAATTTCAACTTTTACTAAATGTAGTCTTTAATAATGTCTGAAAATATATAAATGAATAACCTGATACAAGTAACATGCTTTATGTCTTAAGTTCTCACTCTGCAGCAAACGATTTATATGTATTTATATATAGGGCTATACAGCCATCTAGAGGTTTCACCCTGATATTGCAGATAATACTTGGTGCATAATTTAGAGGTTAATATTTAGTAAAATCCCCTTAAAATAATAAAAATATTAAAGTAAAAAATTATTATTGAGCTAAAATCACAAAAGCACAAATATATACTCGTTCTCATACAACTCTGTTTTCATTCATTTGTATGTTCATCTATAAGTGTTTGGGCTGTTTAATATTAGGATTTTGTTTAAAATCCCCCACCGCGGTCCCGCCCTTCAACATCAAGCCCCGCCCCCTGCACCCCCAGATAAAATATGCTCCCGCGGCTATGGGTAGGTCTCTGACTAAATACTGATACCTAGTGGTCAAAAGCAATAGCAAAAGTAATAGGTCAGTATTATTAAATTGCAGACAAAGATTTTGGATAACTATAGGTTGGCTTGTATGTTTGGTGTGGAATGGGTGCGGTAGGGGGCCCATCCTCATTTTCTTTCATAGGGCCCAAATTGCTAGCGGCGCCCCTGGTCATAGCTGGAGGGAATAACCAACTACAATAGCCTATTTATGATCTCTGGGACACAAATTACTAAAACGCAAACAACTTCTTTATAATAATGAACTAAATGGTGTTGTATTGTATACTTAGAAAGTCTGTGTAATTTGACTTGAAAATGATGTACCTATGTGTGTATTCCTCTCCATAACTCATGCGATAAAGAGTTGGTGGCAAAGAAATCATTTATGACCTCTGGATCTGTCCTTTTAAAGTTTGAGGAACCAATTTAGAGTTCAAGAATCATTTACGGTTCTTATTATTCAGTTCACCAAGGACAGCATACTCATGTTGAAACTAAACAAACCAACTGACCTAAAGCATGTACTGGATGTATTGATCAGTACTAAGTGGTTGGTTTTGTTTGCTTACTCTAGAGCTCTCGAAATCATAGCGGTTCCTCCTGCATTCACATGAGAGAAGAATGTGATGAAATGAACTCCGACCCACCTCACTGTTTCCACAGAAACACCACAGGGTGAAATCAATTACAGATCCCTCTCAAATTAACGTTAATCACACAGCCTTGTCTCACTTGCAAGCATAATACAGAAAAAGGCACTGTGGCTGCCTCACTGCTGCACAATAAAGTGCTAAATTTGATCACAACACTTCAAATGAGGGAATTTAAATAAATCCCTCTAGGTTTCATTCAAATCATTTAAAGGGGTCATATGATGCTGCTAAAAAGAACATTATTTTGTGTATTTGGTGTAATGAAATGTGTTTATGTGGTTTAAAGTTAAAAAAACACATTATTTTCCACATACTGTACATTATTGTTTCTCCTCTATGCCCCGCCTTTTTGAAACGCGTCGATTTTTACAAAGCTCATCGGCCTGAAAAAGCGAGGTGTGCTCCTTTAAACACACTGGCAAGCAGCACGGCCTGCATTGTATCATCTGTTCCTGAATTGGGTATAAAGACACATTCCTGCAGTGCATTTCAAAGAAAGTTAAAATCGGGCTAGTTGAACGCAAAAACAAGATGAATCTATTAACGTGACCATGCGCTGAAACAAAAGTACAGGTAATGTGTGCTAGTGATAAAGAAATATACTGGCCAGGCCAAATAATTATCCAATACCATTAATCTCAAAATCAAAGCCATATTTAATACTATGTAGTGTTCTTTTAATTTCTCTATATATTATACTATAATATGAATTATTTACTGTGTCAGGCTGCAGAAATCATTCTAATACGCTGATTAGTGTTTAAGAAACATTTCTTATTATTATTATCAATGTTGAAAACAGTTTTTGCTGCTTAATATTTTTGTGGAATCTGTGATGCACTACCATTCAAAAGTTTGAGGTAAGCAATATATAAAAAAAATAAAATTAATTAATTAAATTGACAGTAAAGACATTTATAATGTTACAAAAGATTTCTGAAAAATTAATGCTGTTTATTTTATTAATCAAAGAATTCTGAAAAAAAAACTATCACAGATTTCAAAAATATATTAAAAACCATTTCCAAGTTAACACTGACAATAATAAGAACCATTATTAATAACCGAGCCCCAATAGGAATACATTTTAAATTTACATTTTAAAATATATTCAAATAAAAAAAATATTTTGGATTGTAATAATATTTCACAATATTACATTTTCACAATATTTTCGATCAAATAAATGCAGCCTTGGTAGTAATATTTATTAAATCTAAAAACAATAGGCAGAAAATCATTACAGAATAATATTGAATTTCATAAGTTTAAATTTTTTTTAATCTTAACTCAAAACAGGAACTGCCACCTTTTTATATCAGCCAAACTAAACTTCATATTGGACGCCAACCTGCAGAGCAAGAATTAATGTTGTATAATGCACTGGCTGTGCTGTTAAAAACACACCTCATTATGCGGTAGCCCCGCAGCGCTAAAGATGGGGATCTTCTGTCCACGGGCGATGCTGTTCATGCCGTCAATAGCAGAGATGCCAGTCTGGATCATTTCCTCAGGGTAGATACGACACTGAGGGTTGATGGGCTGACCTAAGAAGAGTCAAAAAGAGTACAGTGATCTCACCTGAGCAGGAAAAAAATCTGGTACAAAGTACAACTTCTATTTCTAAAGAAGGAAAAGAGGGCTGATGGGGGTAAAAAAAATATTTTCTTTAGGCTAAATTCTAAATTCTAATTCTCATTAAAGCATATAAATGTGCTACACACTATTTGGAGTGGTGTGACCTTGAGGCCTGATCAACCTTTTATTTCACCCCCTCTTATCCATTCGGCTCATTCAAACGTTGCCCTGAATCGCCATTGTATACCTTTGATAGCTGAAAAGATCACCTTTGCCATTTCAGCTTAGCAGAGATCAGGGTCATGAGGTCAGTAAATGGCTTAAAAAGCACACAAAAATTCCCATTCAACCTCTCAAAATATTCAAATATCAACAAGGAGGAATTTGTAAGCATTTATGAACATATTGTGGCATGCTGGCCTCTCAACTAAGCTGCGGACAAACTGAGTGCACACGGCACAAACAAAAACAAAGAACATTTAACATGGCTGGTGGCAGCCTAATTGGGCAAATTTGTGCTGCTAAAATTTAAAATCATTTTTATCTCAAACAGACCCAAAATCTAGAGTTAATAAAATCACAGAATTGCTCAGTCATCTATGTGCCTCTCAAAAAGACACTTGTTCCTGCAAATGTTACATAAAGCTTTAAAAAAAAAAGAAAGAAATCTCTTACCCATGATGTCCAAATAGTCCTCAGCCAGAACAGTAGGACCCCGGTCAATGGGTTTACCTGACCCGTTGAAAACGCGTCCTGAAATAAAATGAAAAGTTTTTCATGACGTCCATATTGGTTATGTAGAAGACACATTAAGACTATCATTACATAGGCTGCATGAGCATTAGTTATAGGCTTACCAAGCATGTCCTCAGACACAGGTGTGCGCAAGATGTCACCAGTGAATTCACACGCGGTCTTCTTAGCATCAATACCTGAGGTGCCTTCAAACACCTGATGGGCACAAAATGTAAATATTTTTCAGTTATGACCTGAGCTTGGCCTTAGATACTGCAGATATCCATTTCTAACAACTCTTTAGAGAGAACATTTATATTGGCCAAACATCTGAACATGCTTTTGAATGAAAACTTGCCTGAACTACAGCCTTGGTGCCAATGACCTCCAGAACCTGCCCGCTCCTCTTGGTCCCATCAGGTAGAGTAAGGTGCACGATCTCTGCATAACGTGGAAACTAGAGGAACATGATAAAATCAGAAATGAAGATGAGGATCAATATACCCTACCATTCATAAGTCGATTCATTATGCAGGGTCAATTTGTCAATTTAACTTAACAGTTCAAAGTCAATTCAGCTGTACCATAACAGAAATAAATGACATTTTAAAATATATTAAAATAGATAAGTCTTTTTAAAATTTTTTAATAAAATTTCACAACATAACTATTTTTGATCAAATAAATGCAGCATTGGTGAGCATGAGAGACGTCTTTCAAAAACAATGAAAAATTATTCCGACCCTAAAATTTTGAACAGTATGTTATTACTTAAACTGAAATGACCCTTAAAAAGAATTTTTTTTAAAATTCAAAATCTAATGTTCAGAATTTTATCTATAAAATTATTTTAATTCCATTGATACATTTAAAATCAAACTGTCCTCCTTTATTTTTGTCACTTTAAATAATGTAAGTTTAAAACTCTCATATTTTGAAATACTTTAGTTTTTGTAAACACAGAAAAAGAACTTACTTTGACATTGTCCAAAATAACCAGCGGCCCATTTACACCAGACACAGTAGAGTAGGCTGAGGATGACAAAAACAACACAAAATGTAAAAACATACACAGCAAACATTTTTTTGTGACTTTGTACTGCCTGCAAAAGGAAGGCATATAAGATGTGAAAATTAATATTAAAATTTACACTTTCAATTTGCATTTTTATTTGACCATTTGAGACGTACCTGAATAGCAAACATGCAATTACTAAACAGACATATGGGAAACTTTTATTGATTCTAGGTTGCTGCATGTCTTTTTGACAGATGTGAGTGCAGGCACACATGCGGGCGCGCATACACACACACACACACACACACACACACAAAATACATTCACACATGCATATACCAACTGTAAGCACTACCTATGACCAATAAAGTGCATGAAATTTGCTACAAAAGCCCACAATCACATGGAAATGAGGACTCTTTCTCTTGACACCTGTGCATCTAATTGTACACAGTGACCTTTACTGGAGCATTCTAAATGGCTTTCATAAATTTCCATGTCCAAATGTCAGGGCTAGAAGAACACAGTTAGCACATTCAAGGTGGCTTTTTCAGCAGACGTCACGATGGGGGACGACATCTTCACTCTGTTCCATGAGGAACAATTACTTGGCTCAGACTATGGCAATTTATGATGGTTCCAGGTGCTCAAAAAGTCTCATATAGCCTATATAAACAATTACATTCATTTTAGGGTGACAGGATGAACTATCTTTGGGTTGAACAGGCCAGGGAGAGTGGGGCACAGATGTCACTTTAAAGGGACAGGCCATAAGGGTACCAACAATTCTGACCACGACTGTGTATATATATATATATATATATATCAGTCTGGCGAGTAAACTAAAAAAATTACTAGCCAATGGCAATTCAATTGCCAAGGTGTCCGTAGAGAGTTGCATACAGAAGTCATCATTTATTTGCTCACCCTCATGTCGTTTCAGATCTGTGTGACTTTCTTTCTTCTGTAGAACATTAAAGAAGATATTTTAAAGAACGTTAGCAACTAAACCGTTTCGGCTCCCATTGACCTAGATTGTATGGACAAAAGATACAATGGAAGTCAATGGGAACTGAAACTGTTTGGTTATCAAACATTCTTCAAAATATCTTCTTTTGTGTTCAGCAGATGGAAATACATATAAGTTTGGAACAACATGAGGCAGAGTAAATGATGAGAATTTTCATTTTTGAGTGGAGTATCCTTTTAAGACAACACTTTTCCCCCCATCATGACTGGGGCTCGTGTGACTCCTGAATCACTCTTGGACAGTTCGTCCTTAACAAACTATGACTCAGAAAGCAAGCATAGCATGCCCAAAATATAACAACAGAGACATCAGACATAGGAGAGAAATTGCTAAATGTTGGAGCTGTGGTATTCATCTGGGTTAGGAAGGTTCAAGTCTGACCTGCAACATGTCACAATACCTTTAATAGTCTAATTATGCTGAAGCAAGAAAATAAAACTACATTTTCATTTCCTTAATATAAAAAGTGCTTTTTAAGGAACACTTAAGTATTTTCATAAAAAGACACCAAGTGTTTTTGGTAATTTGGTCATTATTCCCAGTCTTCTTCAGTGTTGCATGATCCTTCAGAAACCATTCAAAAAATTCTTCAGAAACCATTCTAAAAAAACGGAGCTGTGGTGCTCATATAGACGAGGAAGGTTCGAATCTGACCTGCAACATGTCACAATACCTTCTTTTCTATCCAATAATCATGCAGAAGCAAAAAATAAAACTAGATTTTTTTTTTCATTTCCTCAATATAATATAATTTTTTTAATGAACACTTAAGTATTTTATGGAAAGCCAGCCACTGGTTTTGGTCCAGGCTGCAGGTGCATGTACAGGGTGGGCTGTCATTAGCAGCAGAGGGTGTGGTCTCATACTTTGGCCTTTTACTTTGCATGGGAAAACATTAGCCGTCCTGTCACAGGAGCCAATTTGGTGTGTGTCCTTTCACTTTGTTTCAGCGTGTGTGTATATGTGTGTGAAAGAGAGAGATTGTGCACGCTAGATGGAGAAGAGTTAGCTTTGTCTGCTCTGGGTCGTCCATCACGCCTCAGTGTGTCAGTTTTGTGTGCACCGTCAGACTGCGGTCTAATATCAAAGGCAGCAGGAAATGAGAATGGACTGTCTCTAACGCCCAGCACAGCAGCCCCACGGGGAGCAGACACTATGCCACTAATTAGGCTTCAGACAGCAGAATCATTTGTCAATGCACTATTGCCGTTTCCCACACACACACACACATACCTGCACATCATGACTTTCCTTACTGGCTGAGGAGAAAAGGAAGGGTGAAATAGAGAAACATGGTTCCATCCTTTTGTTTTTTCCCCTTGCTATCTATGGCTTTTTATTTTTGTTGATTTTGGTTTGATTTTGTGTAAAAAAAAATAAAAATAAAAAAAAGCTAGAGGAACAAAGGAAGAACTGTGCCAAAATCCCATTCAGTTGATGAATATTCACACTATGAATATTGCACGGAGAAAAAAAAAATACTCAAATGTCTTGTGACAATCTATTATTGAGTAGAGAAGTATCACAGTTACTAAATGACAGGCGTCTGCTGTGTTACCCCTCTCTGGCTGCCCTGTGATTCTGCTAGTGAATGGAGATAAATGTGTCTAACATTAACTAACAGTACCTTGATTAATTAATACTGTCCACTGGCTACAAAGAGCTGCCTCAATTTCAGCTACTGCCTTGCCAGAATTAATTATAAACACACACTATAATCAAAAGTTTTTTGTTTGTTTGTAATATTTTTGAAAGAAGTCTCTTATGCTCACCAAGGCTACATTTATTTGATCACAAATACAGTAAAGCTTTAATATTACTCCAGTCTTCTTCAGTGTCACATGATACTTCTAAAATCATAATGCTGATTTGCTGTTCAAGTAACATTTCAATTTTGGAAACATTTGAGCTACTTAATATTTTTATGGAAAGCGTGATTTTTTTCAGGACTTTTTTTTTTATAAACAGAAAGCAAATCATTTAAAATAGAAATCTTTTGTAACATTATAAATGTCTTTACGGTCACCTTTAATTTAATTTACTCTTCCTGAATAAAAGTGTTATTTAAAAAAAAACTTTTAAATTGTAGTGTATGTATTGAAAACATATGGAAATACATAATAAAACATATGGAAACAATGATTTTCATAAAAAATGCATTTTCGTATATTTAGTATTTTGGTCAGATGATCATCAATAAAACTTAAATCAATCTTACTCATATTGAAATTAAAGTATTTTCATTCAAGTATTGTTTTCCAAATTCCTATTCTACCATCAGTAGTATACACTGCTGATATTACAGCAACATTTTATATAAAAAAAGGACAGATTATATGCTGTCGTCCATCTAGAAAACATTCAAAATATGTCTAAAACAAGAAATCTCACAAAAAAGATATTAGCTGAGCATGTGAAAGACTTCAGCTCCCATTATGATGATTCCCTGAGCAACACGTCTTCCCTAAATAAATGATTAGTCTCATAATTGCCGTTATTACAGTGAAAGAAAAACAGTAGTCAAATCACCCTAACACTGAATATCCGCTCTCTCAAAACACACAAAAACAGATGCGTTCCACAAATTCGCGAACACCCTAAAATGCACGTTTCCTCAAATTCCATCATTTTTCAAGACATTAGGGCTTTTCCTTCCCTCCGTCCTTTTTGCCTCAGCCCAGACAAATTGCAATATGTGCTTCACAGGGAGGTGCTTATAAAATGGATTTAATAGCTACACTTACCCTACAAATTGCCCATATGTTTTAAAGGAGATACATATGTCTATTGACTGAGAGGTGATCATAATTACGAGACTGGAAAATTGCGGCCATATAATTGTACATCAACCCCTTAAAAGTCTCTCGAACACAACGCAAACTGCTAATGGAAAACAGTGAGGAGCTGAAATCTTTACTCCAACATAGCTCATGACATGCTCCGATATTGTGCACAACATTAGACGAACGCTAAACGAAGGCACACAGGTGCTAATTTGCTCTGCCAAAGCTGGATGCCGCTAGTTTTTTAGTCAAACAACGGAAGCAAAAATTAACATTCATCTAAATATGCAAGAATAAATGAACAAAACAAGATGTACAAATACAGTGAAAGAAAATCGGATCATAAATAAGCAAAACAGTTGCTTATTAAAAAAAAAAAACTAATAAAAAAACTGGGTGATGAAACGACCCTGCCGAACCATGAGCCAATCGCCTTCCAGCTCTGTGATGAAGATGGCGGCCCACTTCAACTCCACACACAGAGGACTCAGTGCCTCATAAGAGGCCTTGTAAAATAAAGATTAAAAAATGGCTATACATTCACATGGTGTGAAGTAGCAACATTTCCCATTAGGCTTGAAAAACTTTCCCCACCCCTCCCAGGACACTTGAGTTTGAGTGTGTCGGTCCGAGGGCTAGGCATGCAACACCAGAGCGGGTCAACGTGAGGCCTATGGAGCTGCCAGGCCCTATTGTGTGCCGAGATGTTAATTGGTTCTAATCCGGCGGTAGAAGCTGTTTTGGTAGCCTGACCCTGCGCCCTAAAGGACACCTTGGTGTGAAATACTAAAGGGCCCATTCAAGTGGTGCTGAAAGGAGGCATGGAGCATTCCAACACATTTCCATCTCTGCTGTGAAAGAGAAGCGCTGACGGCGAGGTGGGGCATGGTGGGACAGGCGGTTTTTTGGGGGGGCCGGTAGCATTGCGCTGAAACTGAATTAACGATACAAAAGCGCAGGCAAAGATGCCAGGCTTGTCTCATTCACGCACATCCATGCTTCTTTTTTTTTT